GGAGAAAAGACAGCCTCTATAGCATATAGTGCTGAGAAAGTTGTTTATCCACATGCAGAAGATTGAAAGTAGATTCATATCTCTCACTCTGTACAAAAGTCAAACCAAAAGACCTAAATATAAAAACAGCAGCTTTAAAACTGCTGGAAGGTAACGCAGGGGTAAGGTAACTTGAAGCCATGTGCACAGGCAAGGACTAGGTACACATATGAGTCACCTGAAGAACTTTGTGAAAACACACACCTCCAGCCTCAGAGGTTCAGGTCAGTTGGTCTGGAATGGAATGCGATTATCTATATCTTTTTAAAGGCTGGCAGATAACCTTTTTGGCAAGATTTTTCAGCATATTACTCAAGGCAAAAAATTGCAGCAACTTCCCGTTACCCTGATTAGTGGTCAATGACCTTTATTCTGATTAAGTAGCTTTCTACTTCAGGGATATGGTTTCTTGACATACTATGTTAATATCCTTAAGTTCTGAGTTTTGTGCCTAATGTTTTTGCTGATGGGCATGTAATACCTTATTTCATTCAAAGATGGAATCCTGAGACCTCTTTCCTTGTTTTCTAAACTTTGTAGGATCCTCTTAGAACATTAACACCTTCTGATATCTCCCAAGCCTCATTAGATCATGCTCAAAAATGGGTCCTTTGATTGTCTAGTCATTAAGAAATGGGGTCCTTAGAAGTACACTGTTGGTATTGTAGTTCAGAAACGACCAAAGCTAGCCACTTGAGGACTTTAACCCATTCTTGAAGACACACATTATAACTTTCTTCCAAGCCTAGGCAATTTCCATTCCTTTTGCCTAAACTACTTTCCAGACCCCTTCTCCCACCTTGGCTTTCTCCTTCTCCTTCTTCAAGTCTGAAAGGGGCATCTTTTGTTTAGGGAAATCAGGGAAGGCTCTGTGTATCTCCTCTACCCCAGCAGTTATTGCTCTGTTGATACTGTCTATTCATTTCTGTTAGCCCTAGCTTGACTGTAAATCTGAGAACAGAAACCAGTGCTAGCATCCAGCATAGGACTGGCCCATAATCAACACTTAGTAAATGTGTGCTAAATTAAATGTACTGTTTAAAAAAACGGTGCTTTATGTAACCCAGCCCCGTTTATTGAACCTAACGTTTCTGATTGCTAATCACCGGTATAGGTCCTGGAAGCTATCACTGAAATTTAGTGATAACTTTACACTAGAAAGATGCAATGACTTGGCAACATTAAGGGTTTTGCAGGTAACTCAAACTTTGCACGTTACTGTGAGGGTTGGAGGAACAAGATATTTTCCCATTTTTCAGTGGGGGAAGCAAACAACTTGAAAATTTTAGAAAATGGGGCATTTCTAAAAAATCATTTTATTATAATAATATAAGCCCAGGGAGTATCTGCACAAGTTGTTTATCTGTCAGGAAACCCATTTTAAAGAATAATGGAAGCAAAGCAGAAGTTGTATTTAAATCAACAGAAATAGTTCAGATTCTTGTGGCAGGGAAATTAGTCAATATCTGGCCTGCAACTCTAGAACAGGCATAGGTAAGCTTTCCTTTGTAAATAAAGTTTTATTGGAACACAGCCATCCTGCTTGTTTAAGTAGATACTATGAGCATTTTCATACTACAACAGCAGAGTTGAGCATTCTCAACAGAAGGGTGCCCAGATGGCCTGCAAATCTTAAAGTACAGTTCGCTCTCTCTATCTGCAGACTCAACCAACTTGAGATCAAAAATACTTGAAAAAAGATTTCATCTGCACTGAACAATACACCCCCTAAGTAATACAGTACAACAATTATTTTTATAACATTTTCATTGTATTCTGTATTATAAGTAATCTAGAGATGGTTTAAAACGTATAGAAGGATGATCAGAGGTTATATGCAAATATTATATCATTTTACCTAAAGGATTTGAGCCTGCAGATCTCAGTACTGGGGGTGGGGGGCCCTAAAACCATTCCCCTGCCACACAGAGGGACGGCTGCATTTAGTATTGTCGTATTTACAGTAGCTGATCCTCAGGCTCGCAAATGAGTAAGACTGTTTACACTGACTCAGGATTAGGTAGGGAGCTCTGTAGTGTGTTGAGCACAGTGCCGACACATAGGCAACCCGGACGTGTTGGCTGGGACTGGTATTATAGTGGTCAAGACTGGTAAGCAGACACCAAGTAAAGCTCCAGCCCTGCTACAGAAAGCAAGAACACAGGTATCCTTGGCATTTAGAATCTTTTAGGAAAAGACCAATTACAGAAAAAAGACTACGTGTTGGTGAAAGTTGGTGCTTGCTCTAAAGAGGTCCACTCCTTTGGGATTGTTTCTATCACTTTCGTTTCTCTCCCTGAAAAGTATGGAGGACCAAGCTCCATTTGTGGTTAGTTAGTATTTCATCCAAGATCTTCCCCCAAGAGATGTGGCAGAGTTTTAAGAAATCTTGGGTGTGTGGTTTGCTTTCCTTTGAACAATATTCTAAAGGCAAATAGAAAGGTTCATTTCATCTGCTTGTAGTGCACAGGTTTCTTTGCTCATAAGCATGAATCACCAGTCCCTCCACTGTGGGAAAGGAACGTGAATTAACAATAAGGGAATGAGTGGGTTTTTGAGAATACCATGGAGACAAAATGTTGATTACTGTCTCTTTCTCCTTGCAGGAATGTAAACTCCATAAGGGGAGACATTTTTATCTATTACAGTCAGATTCCCTGATGCTATTTTCAGTGCCTGGGACATAGTAAATAACACTGTCAATAATAAGCTTTTCTAAATTCAATACTATTTTAAATCAATTTATGTTTGAATTAATCGCAACATATTTATCTCATACAATGGTCATATGTGTGAGGAAGAGACAAATAATGTCTGGCTGTATTTATTCCAGACACATTTATTCCATATACATTATAGATAATTTACCAAACACCTATAGTAATCATGAGCTCCTAAGGGTCCATGGCCTTAAGATTGAAAGTTACAGGCCAACCCACCCGAGGAACTGGGGTATAAAGACATTCTGCAGTTAGCCTAGGGTCTTACCCTAATTAATATCTAACAAAGAACAAAGCCAAAGCCTGGTGTCTTCTGAATCCCATCCCAGTGCTATTTCAGTGGTCAATGATGAGATATCTCCATAGACTTCCTAAAGGTTATCTCTTAGCAACCTGATGCAAGCTCCAGAATAGACCTGAATCTGAGTAAAGGCCTTGTCATAACCTTATCCTACCTTTGATGGAAGGCAGGAGGGCAGTTAGGACATAGGCACAGGACCAGCTTCCCAGTGTGTAGCCTGTGCAGCCTCGCAGACTGTGCTTGATTTAATGTCCTGCTGTCACCTACTTGCTTTTAATTTTCAAAAAAGGAGCATTTTGCACCAGGCCCTGCAAAGTGTATAACCGGTACTATGTGGGCAAGACGATTTCAGACTAACTTCATTTTATTTCTAGTTTGCTAGAATCCTACAGTAGGCAGAGTAGGTAAGAGACACAACCTTCATTGTGCTCCTTAGATATGATGGACCAACAGCTCCAAGGCGAGGGCTCACAGTAAGCCCAGGGGCAAGAGAGAAGGAGGCCCTCACTCTGAGGGTTCCAAGAAAGGTTCACTTGAGATTGAGTGCCTTTAAGTTTTGTGCCTCGGCCTAGTCCTGCCTATAGTGAACCCACAGACACCTACAGACCTGCAGTCCACCTGCTGCTCTCCTACTTTGGCTCTCTGTGTGTGCCTCCTCCGTGGGCAATGGATTTTCATCAGCCCTATCAGGTGGTATGCAGAAACCTGCCCTAGGGACATGTTCTTAGTTTTGTTTTTTGAAAATGTTCTTTATTTGTTCAGTCTGTGTTGAAGGAGAATTCTATTTCCCCTCTCTGTGAGATTTGACATGGTTGGCTGGTGCCTGTTGTACTGCGTAAATGAAATCTGATATAAGGCTGAATTGTCAATAGCATGAAACATTTTATAGGCAGAGCAAAAGCACAGATGGCGTTGTGGTCACATCCATTGTGTCCCACTGTAACAGCGGTGTGTAGCAGGTGGAAAGAAGTTGAAAAGGCCTGGTTCTCATCCTCATTTCCCGGAGGACCTCAGGCACCACTTCTCCGCCTCAGTTGTTTCACCTATGAAATAGGGCTCATAAGGCTACTCTGTCTCACATGCTTTTCGAGGGAGATCAGTGAATGAATGTGTCACAATGTGTTTTGTAAATCATAAAATGCTAGCTAGTATTTGACATTGTTCAGCTTTTAGAGGGAAATTGTTCTGCAGTATGGGTCCATTCTCAGTTGCCCCCTGCCACCTGCCAGGGTTAGACATGTATTGCACAAAGTCACACTGTATGAGTTAGGTTTTACTGAGGAAAAGAAAGACCTGGCAAAGTCAGGGTCAGCTGGGTTAGAGAAGAGAGGAGGGCCTGCTGAGGCTGATGCACCCTGTGGGGTAGGTTTGTGTTCCAGGGAGGGGCATAGCCCCATTCCAGCCCCACCTGTCACTCTCCTTTTCTCATAGGGCAAGTGTGACTGTAGTTTTGTTAGGCAGGAGATAGCGAAAGTACTTCGGCACTAGTAAACCTGTGCGTGGATGACAGGTGTCTACAGGAATTGTATGGGAACAAAGCTTCCAGCACCTGGGAACTTTAGGACCCACCCTTTGTGCCATGAGAAGGGGAGGCTGAACACATCCTTCCAACCTCACGTTAGGAGTCCTGCCTCCATAGTTCTCTGACCTGATAAGCTCGGTGAGCAGCTAGATTCATTTCAGACAGTCCTTGTACATCAGGAGAACCATTACATCTGAGAAACAGAGACCATCACTAATCACAATGTGAAAAGCTAACTAGGCCGTGCCATAGTTTCTTGATGCTTGATTTAGATTTGATAAAGATACAGGACTTACTCAGACTAAATCCAAATCCATCCATTAATGAACTATTATAAGAGGATTCTGCTTTTAAAGTTTCACTAGGTTCCTTTGGGTTAAAACGCAAGCATAGTCAATTCCTCTCAAAAGCTTCGTACCTGATTTTCCATAATTGATGTTGAAATGTTTTGCATCCTTGCTCATTCTTTTCTATCCATCCTTTTCTTCTCAGCATGGTGTTTTCTACTCCATGATAGCTTCAAGTCTCTGTCTTATACAAGTGCCTCAGTAGGTGCAGAATCCAGTAGTGGGGACAGGATAAGGAGAAACCGCAGGAGATAAATAATTATAGTATAAATTTTGCACAAAATATTCTAAGAGATTAGTAACAACACAATTTTATCGAGGACAAGATTGTGATTTGAATTGTATTATTAAAGATAGGCTATTTTGGAGCAAAGGAAAAGAAAGAAGGACAAGCTAGGTAGAGAAGTGAGACTTCAGAGCAGACAGAATAGGTGAAGTGTTTAGACAATGTGGCACAGAGTAGATGCTCGATAAACATTAGTAGTACTAGTACTTCTTATATAGTCAAGGAATTTCAAACATCTGATATAGGTAAAATATACGAGAGAAAGGTATGGAAATGAAACTGAAAATGTGGCTTGAGATAATTGCACATGTGAAGGACCTTGGGTAGCATGTTGCAGGAGTTAGTGTTTTATTTGCATTTCATTTTAGCCAAATAATCTATAATTATCAATATCTCAGTGAGCATGGGCTTGGTTAGGTTGCAATAATAAATAATCCTCAAATGTCAGGGTTTTAAAGCATAAAAACAGTTATTTCTAATCCATGTTCCATGCGTGTCACAAGATGTATATGATCTTTGTGCAGTATTTTCCTCTTTTTATGGCCCAGTCCCAAAGCGACACCCAACACTAGTTCATTTCATTAAACAAAACAGGTCACAAGGCCACACTTAGCTTTAAACAATCCAGGGAAGAAATGGTGGCAACACGACTCTGTGCATTTGTCAAAACTCGTGAAACTGTATGCTTAAAATGAGTGAATTTTATTGGCTCTAAATTGTACACTCATGAGTTTGACTTTTAAAAAATCAAAGTGCATTTTTAAGCAGCTATGTTTTAAAATTGACTGAAATCCATAATTTAAATAGCCACTTAACGTATCATTTGATTATTAAAAATTAATTTTCTGGATCCTCAGAGAGAAGGTATAGCCTGTGATGTGTTGCTAGAATGTTTTCCTTCCGGGACAAGGGGGATCCTGATGTATTTCATTTACCTAGTTCCATGGTGTTAATTCTCCCTCCATGACTGATTCCAAGCCACCAATGTGATGTCCTTGAGTTGAGCTAGGAAGAGGAGCACACATTAGAAGCCAATCCAACACCACCTGGAAGTGTTCCATGGCTGGCATTATCCTAAGCTGCAAGGTCATGAATGTTCTCATGATCTTCCAAGATTGTGCAAGTCCCCATTTGCTGGTAATGTGAGAGTAGTGCCATATAAACTCGCACAAAATGCTCTAGGAGGACTAGGGCCCTAGCTTATTGGCAGAGCACTTGCCTCCATGCTCAAGGCCCTGGTTCAGTTCCCAGCATCAGAAAAAACAGCTCTAGGAGCACAGTGATGAAGCAATTAATATTATCAGGTAAATTTAAATGTGTTCATTTTTATTATTGATTTAATAATGATATAAACATTACATACCAGATACCACTGCTTTGAAAAGTAACCCAATAGAATCCATAAATTTAAAAGTGGACAGGGCCTTAGATATTAGCTAAACACTTCACAACTGGGGAGATCTAGCCAGGTAAGAGACACGCCCACAGGAGTCACCCAGACATGCCCAGCAGTCACCCACCCTCGGGCAGCAGGACTGGGACCAGAACCCAGGTCTCCAGACTTCCTGCTTCATTTCTGTGTGTGGCTTTCCCCATCACAACAAGAACAGTGGGGTTCCAGGTTTTTGACTGTGTACTGTTGTTCCCAGCCCTCTTTCAGATATCCATCTTACAAGCATTATTTTTCTAAGGTCAAAACATTCAGCATGGCTGGGCATGATGGCACATGCCTGTAACCCTGGCACTTAAGAGGCTGAAGCAGGAGGATTGTCATGAGTTTGAGGTCAGCCTGGACTACATAGATGAGTTCAAGGCCAGCCTGAGCTACATATGGAGACTCTGTCTCAAAACGAAATAAAACACTCAGTTCAGCCAGGCCTGCTGTAAGGAAGTATCTGGCAGAGGCTGGGGGAAGGGGTAGGGAAAGGTACTATTTGATAGCTACTGGCCGCAAACAATGCATTGTGCCCTGGAGACAAAGAGGATAACCTGACACCATCTGAGGACTGTGATTTACCCTCAGCCCACTTTTCCAGAGGCTCCTCAGCCGGCAGTCTTTCCCTGCCCCCATAACACACCCCACATTAAGAAGAACAGCTGCAGCCATTGATCAGAGCACATCCACTGAGCGCTGTCACATCTCAATCAAATTTGGGGGGCTGAGAAAGGTCCTTGGGAGGAGTTTGTTCCTCAGGTCTGAGGGTAGAGTCAAGCCCCAATAATAATAATAACAACAACAACAACAGTAATAATAATTTTATCATGTAATCATTGTTGGGACCTAACCCACCTATGTCCCCAAACATATTTGTGTGACTCTGGTCACTCAATTTTAAAGACTTTTTCTTCTCTCTTCTTTTCTTCCTCAATCTGATAAATTCTTGTTCTTCCTTCAAGGCCCATCTCAGTGTCACTCCTTTGAAGATTCTTTCCAACCTTGACCTTAGAGAACCTCCCCCTGGCTTCTCTGAGTTTATTGCTTCTTCTATCTTGTTCCCAGAACACTTTGAACCTACCTTTCCTGCTCCCAAAGCACAGAGTATTTTGTGAATATTTGTTCAGATGTCTGTCTTCTCCACCAGGGCAAACATTTGCTCCTTGCAGTCAAGGCCCGTACGTTAGTCATTTTTAGTTCCCTGTATCCGCCTTACTGCCTGACCTGGTGCGTGGGACTGCAGAAGGGAGAGACAGAAAGAGACACAGAGTCACAGAGAGACAAAGACCGAGAGCCCTGGAGATTAACAGCAAAGTCTCTAGGAAAAGTGGAGCTTCCCCTGAGCCTGCTAGCACCCCCACTTATCAAATGACTGTACCGACCCCCACGTTATACTCTCAAGTTTACTGTGCATTGCCACAGACGTCACCAAGGCCTATTTGCTGAAAATGAGGTTTGCTGCCCCCTCCCTCCTGCCATTCTAATTTCCAGATGTGCAGCATGGCCCAGAAATCTTCACTGCCACGAGCCTTCTGTCTTCTGGGTGATGTTCTGACCCAGGTGATCTGCAGAAGACTTTTGAGAGGCATTGGTCCTGGCCAGAAGGCTCCAGGAATGCAGCAGTTCAGAGGATAGCGGGGTGCAGACTAGAGCCCCACGCTGCTCCCCATGTGGGCTGTAGAGGGAGCTCTGCAGCCTGCCTGCTTCTCCAAAAGCACAGAGCTGGAAGGTGCTTCTGGCATCACCTTTCATCTCCCTCCACTCCCACCCTTAAACCCTCTCACCTCACCCCGGGCCCAGTCACAGAGGCACGCTGGGAGGACTCTCTTCCAGGGTATCTGACAGACAGACCTCTGTTGCTCCACCACTTGGTTATTCTGGGTGGTGGAATAACCATCCGAGTCTTGGCACTAGCCATGACCTGAGCTCCAAATGCAGCACAGCAGTCCTGGACATGGAAACTTCCAGCAAATGTGATGACAGCAGCCAGGGCCACTTTCATAGCAGATCCTTGCTGACCACAGGCTCTCGAGGCTATCTACCTTGTGTTGGCCTCAGCAGTAACACTGCCAGGTCCTTGTATCAGCCACACGCACCAAGGCTGCCATGGGCACAATGCAGTAGCCTGTGTGCCCCCGGCTGAGGAGTAATCTCCTAGGAAAGGACCTGTTCCTGCCTTGTCACCCACCCTGCATCTTCTCCACAGCCCCAGCCGTGATGGCTCTCAGAACTAAACTCCAGCACCCACCTGACAAGAGCTGAGAAGCTGCTGTCATATTCACTCATATAACAAAGTATGTTTGTTTCCCAGAAGAGGATCATTTTCTATTCCTACTCATTCTCTTACTATAATTATGCCCACATGGGGTCTAATTGATTTTAATTTCACCCTGAGGTCGCTCCAGGTTACAACGCTGAGCCTCCAGCGTTGGAGAACTCTCTCCCTTTATTTAGCATTAAATGAGTATCCGGAGGGAAACACAGGAAGTAATTAGAAGGAGAAGCCCGGTGTTGGAAGGGGTAGGTTGTGAAGCACTCAGACTTCCCAAGGAGCTTAGTTCTAATTCCGAAGTAGGATGGGGAGCTGGCCGCCTAGAACAAGATGCACTGGCTGGCACTGAGAAATCCTGCAGCTGCCCCGACCCAGCCTGTGGCTCAGTGCGGGAATAATCTCAATGCTCGCTTGCCCACGACTCCACAGCTTCTGTTTATGCACTAGCACATCTTTTTGAAGTCTTAGACATTACTTTATGGGGTTTTCTTTTGGTTTTTGTTTTGTTTTTTTCTGGTACTGGGAATTGAACTCATGACTTCGCGCTTGCCGGGCAGGTGCTGTGCCGCTGAGCTAAATCCCCAGCCTAGACATTACTTTACTTGAAGTTTGTGCGTAAATGGCAATAATATTACAATTTCAATTGCACATTCTTTTTCTATAACAATGTTCATGTTTGTCCTATTTTTCAGAGTCTATGTCCCCCTTATATGTTGCAAAAAGAGGTGATAATATTTTGTCATTTCTGCTTCATTTCCAACTGTTCCCCTAGAATGCGGATTTGATGGGATGTTTGCACAGGCTATGACTGGGGGCATGTCTTATGTAACTGAAGCATAGGTCTTTACTTTCAGATAGTAAAAATTCTAGAACCAGTGGGATATGCTGATGTTATTCAAATCTCTAAACTGTGAGGCAAATTATACAGCTAGATAATTGGTTTCCTAAAGGTATAGCCTAGTAGCAATGTAACAAGCTTGTACATGCACACACACACATGTACATACATACATAGATCACAAATAAATGCTGCAGAATTCTGGTGCTCACTGCCCCTCTCTGTCCCTCTGTAGCTATTATATATTATTTATAACTATCTGGTTATCCAAGCACCATTCTGACTTCTTATTTCTGAAGGGCATCTGTAGTCCTAGCCCAACAGTTAGTGCTTGTTGTATATTTGAGATGGAAAGCAGTCCCAACTAAACCTTCATTTTGGAAGGAGGAAGCAAAGGCCCCAAAACACCTGATTACTTGGCCAAGATCATAGCCATGAGGACAAGTGCACGTGTTATAAGCAGGAGACTTTTCAATCAAATCAAAGCATTTAGCAAATGCCCCCATCAAACTTCTCAGTATCCCACACCCCTTGCTGTGTGAAAGACTATGCTTTTAGTATGGCAAACATGCTGAAAGAGATAAGACATTTGGCTACGGCTTTTCCCCTTCTCATCTGTAAAGCTCTTTTTGTATTGATCCATTTGTGTGACCAAGTATCAGAATTCAGGAACGGACAGATGTAATGCCCAGGTGAAATTCAACCAGTTAAGAAGACTGTTGCCTTGAACTTGACAGTGAGTCTTTCACAAAGTCTCTCTGCTTTTGCATTAAGTTACACTAAACTGGGAGGAAGCTGTTCCTGGTTCCCTTTCATGTAGTTTCAGGTTTGCTCGGGAATCCTTGGTGTTCTGTCCCATAGTGGTGCTCCTTGCCAGGAACATGCAGGGTCAGGATTCAGCCTTCCCCTTCCAGCAGCTCCGAAAGGCTGAGTTGTGTGCACCTCTGAGTCTCCTCTTGATGTCATTCCCCACCTTTTGTTTTCTATGTCATTTGGAATTTGTCTTTTTCTCCCGAAGGAGGTGCAGTCCCAAGGAAACCAGGGCAAGGCCATGCCGACTCATCCTTTGAAACTTCCCCAGCTCACCACCCCCCAGGTTTATGAGGCGAGACCCCCTTAATCCACAGACAGAGGCCTCAATCACCACAGCGCACCATCCGCACCAGTGTACAGCGGGGAAAACAAAGAATCCCTTTCTGAGGTCAATCAGCAATTCCAGGAGTCAACTGAGCCCCACAGCACAGCCCACTCTGCTGGGACAGCCGTGTGCACTCGGGCCAGGGAGGACGTCAGCATTCAGGTGGTAGGGCTCATGTGTCCTCTCCTCCCCTCCCTGCTAGTTATCCAGCAAACCCACTAGTGGGAGAAGCTTCTACAAAATTGTGCACCCTACCACTAGAAACCTTGCAGCCAGTTACACCATAGGGAGAAGAGACAGAGGAGGACAGGAAAGAGACAGAGCAGAGGGGAAGCCACCAACACAACAGAATACCATCAGCAAGTCACATGTCCTCCTGCCTCCTCCCCCTGTCACCAAGCCAAGCCAGGAGCAGCTAGCTGCCCCCTTCCCAAGCCAGCAGCCACAGTCTCAGTGTGACTGTTAGTGTTCTACTGAAGCACATTTAGCTAAGCAGCACACTCACAAGGGAACTACCCGAGTATCTTCAAAAAAATAATGCCTGGCTTCCACATGCCAACCTTCTGTTTTCATTGATTTGAGGTGCTAAGTAGACAACTGGAGTTGGAAAGCTCCCTGGGTGATTTAGTGGTTTGGGAACCACTCTATTATCGGCCAGGAAATTCCTAGGGCCCATACCAACTGCCCTCAGAGGAGATCCCAGCAACAAGCTCCACTTCCTAGGGGAAGACTGCATTACCTTTGGGCCAAATTCAAATCTACCTAATATTTATTGAACACCTACTACATGCTATGCCCTGTGCTTCTGCCTTCCTGTGTATTATCTAGCCTAACTCAGCAAAGCATTCTTGGAGTACCATTCCATAGACAAAGCAGTGTCTTGTGATTTAAGAGCTATCTGATCCTAATGTTATACGACTTCCAGTTTTCAAGATTCTCTTCTGACAAAGGGTGTTTCACAACTGAGAGATGAATGGTTTTGAAAAACAAGTATTTGCTAGGGGAGTATACGAGGTGGCAGAGGCCTGAGGGTGTCATCCTATCCTAGTTGGACTAAAACAATGTACAAGGGCTAATCACAAGTACCACGTGTGTTTAAATTTTTAAAAAATCATTACAGTAAAAGATGCACTGCTATTAATCCCCCTCAAAACACTCTCCCTCACTTTGAACACACTTAGCCCAACATTCTTTCTACTTTCTGAAGCAGTTCTACTTTCTGGAATCCATTCTTCCTACTTTCTGGAATCCATTCTCCTCTCTCTACAAGGTATAATAAAAAAATACAGTCAATGCTGCTGCCGAGTGCCATTCAAAGGAAAAGCGGTTCATAAAAACATTGTGGTGTATCTTCACCCACCTTAATCACTGAGTCTAGCACAGTACTGTGACAGGTAAATGGTTTTGAATTGATTAAGAACATTGAGGAAGCCATGCCAGCACAATGAAAGACACTCACGAAAAGCACTACCAGAACTGCTTCAGAAAGCAGCAAGAACAATGGGCTAAGTATTTTTGAGAGAGAACAGTGTGTGGCAATGTGTCTTTTACTGTAATAAAATTTTAAAATTTTAAACATTCACAGTATCTTTAATCATACCTCATATACAAACTTGAGGTGCTCAATAAATAGGAGCTGATTTTTTTTATGCAGAGTGCAAAAGTCATGTAAAGACTTGGGCTCATGAGCCAATCCAACCTTATTCTCGAAAGCTACCTCTGTTCTTTATTAGCTGTGAGACTTAGCCAATTATTTATCCTCTTGAGCCTCTCTTTCCCTTTCTCCAGTATCTACTCCACAGCTTTGTATTAAGGATAAAATGAGATAATGCCATTCAAGTGCAAAGCACAGTATCGTAGTCACTGTGACTTTTTTTTCTGATGCTGATGATCAAATCCAGGGCCTGGCATATGCAATGTAACTGCTGTACCACTGAGCTACATGCAAGTCCGTACTATGATCTTTTACCATCATCATCATCATCATCACCTTGGTTACTTTTCTTGTTGCTGAGACAAAATACCTGACACCCAAAGATAAAGGAGGAAAGGCTTATTTAGCTCACAGTTTGTAGAGGTTTCAGTCCGCAATAGGCTGGCTCCATAGCAGGATAGAATCAGAGCAGAAACAGTTCATGGTGGGCAGAAGATAAAGGTAAAGAAAGATAAAGGAACAAGGGACCACCACAGCTCTTTCCATGCCTTATATTTTATCCAGGCTGCTTAGGGTGGGTAGAACTCACACCCTTAATCCTAGTACTCTAGTCCTACCATTGCACTGTGAATCAATTCCAGCATCACACAGTCGAGATCCAGCCACCTCTGAAAAAGCCTCACCTATGACCACATGAAGCTTTGGGGGAACATCTAAACACAAATAATAACAATCATTATCATTAGCATTATAGCACAGGGATTAAGGATAAATGTTGAAAATGTTGTAAGTTTCTGGGCCTTGTGAACAAAGGACACATCTGTGCTTTGCCTATAATCCCTCGGGCTCTCCCACATTGCTCTCCCACATCTTAGATTTTGCCTACTTAGTCCCAGTAATTCCATCAATAATGATAGTTCTTTTCAATATACAGTAAAGAGAAATTGCTGTGCTCTGGCTTTGACCCCGAGCAGCTACGCTAACAACTGTTACCCAAGCAGTGCATCTCCTGTGGGCAGCACTGGAAATATCAACTCTGAGGAGAACTTCTCCAAATAGTCAAGTTTGTAAGATGCTTTTTTCTCTTCCTTTGTATATCCAGGTCTATGGGTAATAATCTCAAGCTCAAGAGAGACAGCCTGTATTTCCAAATGTCACAATTTGGTTCTTTTTGCTCTCATTGCTGTTCAAGGTCAATAATGACCTTAACTTCAGAACTTTTTGTTAGGTCATTGATACTTCTTAGATCCCAAAGCCTTTCCAGGCTAACTTCTTTGGATGGGGTCACTCTATGATCCCGGAGGGAAGCAAATGGCTGCTGGCAGCAGGGACAGAGCCCTTCATGGCCATGTAGACACCATGAAGCAAAGGGAACCCTGGGTTAAGATTCTGCAAGCCTTGTCCCAGGGCACCATTTTCCTACTTCTTGGGGACCTTGGACAAACTACTCCATTTCTCTGGCCCTCAGTTTATTTATCTCTAAAAGGAGCAAGTTGGCTAGGTGGCTGCTTACCAGAAATTATAATTGATCTTATCCTCTGGTGTTGTTCCATCTCATCGCAATGATTTAGTCTGCTTTGTGCTGTTGAAGAGACGATTATAATATGACTCTGTTCTCATGTAGGGTAACTCCGATCACATGCCTCCTTCTCTATTCCTGGCCAAAGTAATACATTTTGGGGAAAATACATTTCTTAAGTAGCCTATTACAAATATATTTCTTAAGAATCAACCCTTAGTTAACTTGTTTGTTCTTTTACTCATCCAGAAATATTTATGGGATGCTACACAGCCAGGCAGCATGCTACAGTCAGGGATACAGTGATGTACAAAACAGACACAGCCATATAGCCCTTAGGGGCAAATGGAGGCAAAAGAAAAGCAACTGCATACATCCTAGCTTGTGCCGGGATGCAAGGGAGAAGTTCCTGGAGAAAGTGAAGGAGACCCAGGGGGGAGAGGAGGGGTGACCAGCAGGGTGAACAAATAAGGAGGATGATGTCAGATAAGAGAGAATGCATTTCAGAGAGTTCTAAATTTACAGCTGTGGCCTCAGCTCACTGGGGTTGCATACATATACATATATAAATTGAAGACTTAAGCTATAAACTGAGCAGAAGAGCTGGTTCATTTGGGAGCAGTAAAGGTTTATATTCTCTGGGAAATGCCATGTGTAGAGATTAGCCAAAGACCAAGAAACAGGCCTAGACAAAGACTTTTGTGCAGAAACACAGCAATGACGAACAGCAAAGGCCTGCACATGTTGTTTTTCCCAAGTTATAAATACTTCTTCTGGTGTATGGGCCAACTTAAGAGAAAAGCGACTGGGTCTTATTTGACTTTGGTTGATCAGAGCCTAGGTGAGAGCTTAAAACTTAGGAGTTGTTCACTTAGTATTAGTTGACTGTTTAATTGATTTGTTGGTTGGGACAGAAGGAAGGGAGGGAGGGAGGGAGGAAAGGCTGGATATATGGTTGGATTGTTGGCCGGCTGGCTGGCTGGCTGGATGGATGGATGGATGGATGGATAGATAGTTGGGAGAAGAGATGTAAAATGTCTAGACCTGTATCTAATAGATACACATAAGTGGTAAATATACTTCTCTTGCCCTACAGCATAAAAATACCTAATTTTTGTAAATACTGAAACAATTGTGTCTATAAACTTCCACTCATTTAAGCAATTTTAATAAAACTATGTGCAGAACAGTGTTTCTTTGAGGAAAAAAAATACCTATTGTTTCACCTGTGTTTCATTTGCACAAAAAAAAACAAAATAAGAGTGCATTCTGCATAAAACTTGCCACCATGTGTAACATAGCTGAGTACTAACCCCTTAAGAAAAACAAATAATTAATGATTTGGCATAAACTGTAATAAATAGTTCTGGTTTCACTTTGGGAGTAAAAGAGACCCTACAGATCATTACAAAAGCCTGTTTTGAATACTATTTTTTAATAACAAATCACCTCAAATTTGATGAAAAATATCCCCCCCGTATTAGGGTGACAGATACCATATATATATATTGAGACAGGTCTCCTATATAGCCCAGGCTCGCCTTGATCTCATGGAGATCCTGCTGCCTCAGCCTCCCAAGTTCTGGGATTACAGGTGTATGCCCACCAAGCCCAGCCAGCTGACAGGTTCTACTGGCTCAGAAATTAGGACAAGCTACCCTGGGGAAGGCGTGCCTTTGCTCAGCTCTTGGGAACCCTAACTTGGAACGCTCAAAGGCAGAGGGGCACTTGACAACTAGAGTCCAGAATCCTCATCAGAAGGCTCTTGCATTCAATATGTGGTGCCCAGCTAAGCTGAGCTGCACACTGAACTCAGCTGGGCTAACGGGTGTCTAGCCGAGGCCTCCCCACATGGCTTGAGCTTCCCCCAAACATAGTAGCCCTGGGGTAGCTGAAATTCTAGCATAACAGTGCATGCTTCAAGTGTAAGGCTTCCAATAGATGAAGGAGATCTTCATTGCTTTTTATGATCAGTTTTTATCACCCCATCAACTTCTGGAGGTTACAAGTCTATCCAGGTTTCTGAAGCGAAGCCATAAACTGCACCTCTTGATAGAAAATGTGTCAAAGAGTTCTATAGTCATTCTTAAAACCCTACATGACTAGTTCTTAGAATCCGAACCTAAGAATCCCAACAGAGGGCAACCTCCTCTCAAGTAACCTCATCACTCTTAGGGCAGTATTTTCATTGACATATGTCGTTTGCTTTTTGTGAGGAATTGGGTCTCCACTTCCTGTCATGCCTGGAGTGTGCTAGCAACATGAAGGCAAGAAAACTCTACCCTCCCTTCCTAAATGCAGTGCTCAGCTTGGGTCATCCCAGTTTTGGGAGGGGAACCCTCAGGATTGGTGGAACCAGTGGCAGGAAGCCTTTTTAACAATGGCAACAGCATTGTGCTAGGAAGCCAGGGCAAAGCGTGGAGCACAAAGGAACAGCCTGCAGCCAGGCGCACGCGCATGCCCAACGCACTGACCCGCACCAAGATCCCACCCACCCCACCAGCACTCCTTCTAAGGATTTTGGCCGCTGGACTCAGTCCTTTTGCCAGGGTGTGATAGTTTTCCAGAAAAACTCAGGGTCAGGGGAATGGAGCAGTTTCCTGTGGGTTCAGGTTTTTAAAGATATGTCGTTTGGGCTGAAGGACTCCTGTGAGATGCTCTTTCTCAGCCCTATCAGGGGGCATTAGAAAAGGTGGTGGGATGCCAAGACCTTGAGGTCGGGGGTCAGAAACTGGGGCTTCACACTCACTGGCAACAGGGAGCTGATGAGGTCACAATGTGGAACACCAGATTTATATGACCCCCTGGGCTCTGTTCAGCATGATGTAGCAGCTCAGAAGAACCAGAGGTGCATCCAGGTTCTGTGAGTGTGTACGCATGGGCTCGGGTGACGGAGATGGTGCATCCCACCTGCCCCGCCGGGGACTCATGTACCTGAAGTGACGGGAATGCTGTGCTTGCTTTCACTACTGTCACCTCGTCCGCTGGTCCCAAATGAGCCACCCTGTATGAGATAAAGAATGGTAACGACCGCCTTTATTCCCTGCAGTCATCCAGGGCCAACTGGCAGAACCAGTACCAGTCTTCTAAGCTGTGCCTTGTTCGGGATAGTGCAGCACTATTAGCTACGTTCAGTGATAAGCACTCATTCACCATTATCTTAGAAACTGTTTGTGTTATCTGTTTTACTCAAAACAGCAATCCTGAAGTATCAAGTTTACCAAACAGTTGTACTGCTAAAGATTAAATTGGCTTTGTATAGGTACAGATAAGTCTAGAGAATGGTAGCAGTTCTAAACAGTAATATAAATAGCAATTCTCCAGGAAAAATATATAAATATATGTCTTTATGTATATAAAATATATAAAATATAATAAAATATATTAAATATATTAAAATATAATATATAATATATTGACATTATATGTATAAAGATATATATCTATCTATAATTATATATATATCTATATCTATATCTATATCTATATCTATATCTGTATCTATATCTATATCTGTATCTTTTTGAGACAGGGTCTCCTATATAGCCCAGGCTGGCCTTAAACTCATGGCAACATGGCAATCCTGCTGTCTCCGCCTCCCAAGTGCTGGGATTACAGGTGTGTGTGTGTGTGTGTGTGTAGAGGGGGGCGATGGAATTTTTCCAGTCTTACTTAATCATATATTAGCTGAGGGTAACTGGGTATTTTAAGGCACGCAAATTTGAAGCTTGAGTGGATGGCATACATCAGCACAAAATACAGTGTCCTGTGAGTGATCTAAGAAGCATTTGGGCCAGGCATGGTGTAATCCTTGCACTCAGGAGACTGAAGCAGGAGGATTGCCACAAGCTGCAGCTAGCCTGGACTGCATAGTGAGCTCAAGGCCAAACTTGATCTACATAGCAAGACCCTGTCTAAAAAAGCCAAAAAAAAAAAAAAAAAAATCATTTGGAAATAGGGAGAGTTGAAACCATCCTGTGAGACTCTGTGTGACATCTTGGAAAGTGCTACTCGTGATATGCCTAGAATGGTTGGTGACTCTTGAAAGTAGCTATGGTTTGTGCTTAGAAATGTGCCGTCTACTCCAAACTCGCCCAAGAAAGCGTGTGATAGTGTGATAGGAGTAAGGACTGTTCTTCGTCCAGCGTGAGTTACATGTGCACAGTAGGAGGCTGGCTGAGGGTGTGGAGCCCTCTAAGTGTTCCCCGGCTGCTCTGCTGCTGTGAGTCACCTTCTCCAAGAGTGTGAGGGGCCCCTTCCTGAGCCCAGGACCTAAGCCGCCGGCCACCCTGACCTCCCACAACCCATAAGCTGGTCCTCACCCTCATTCTGTTTGTTTTTCTAAATTTGTATCTTAAAACACATCCTTCTTGCCTTTCTCCTGAAAGCATCGAAATATTTCAGGACACACTCTGCTGTTTTGAGCATTTATGCATCTTTACTTCAATGACTTGTTCATTCCACCAAATCTTCTGAAGAATTGCCACTAATGATTAAAATACTTCCAGATCTTCTTACCTCTCTAGTGATTTCAATCAAATTAAAATGACTGCAGGTTTCGGAATTGTGCCAGGTCAGAATGGAACTTTTTACATTACATGAAGTAAATAGTCTTAAACTCAACACCTTCCCTAGACTGAGCCTCACTTTGAAAGCATCGCCTGTGTAATCCTGAAAGCTTATTGACTACATTACATATGCATATACACATGTGAAATGGTGCCAGGCAGGGTCTGACCACATCCAACTGAAAACTTAAATTTCACCTTTAATCTTCTGATGTAGCTACTGTTATTATCCACTTTCACATTTGAGAAAGTGAGGTACAAAGAGGTCGAATAACTTGACACAATGTTACCCAGCTGGAAAGAAGTTTTGAAGTTGGCATTTCAACCTAGTCAACCTAGCTCCAGAGTCTTCACGGTTAACAAAATATTCCTAGCAAGTAATACCTTTCCTTGTTTTTAGAGTTCAGTTGCCATTTCTGTTACTATGCATTTGACAAGCACACAGAATTTTCATCTGAAACAGTGTTAACCTTCTTACCTTATTCTTCAGATCGTTGAAAATCTTTTGCTATGGATAAAAATGTTAAAATAGAATTTTAAG